GCACGAATAATTGGAATTAAAACATGCAAAGAAAATCTAAAATATGTAAAAATTCTATCCATCTATCTGTTTTGATAGGCATGCAACTAATTGACATTCATTGATAGCCACAATGAAAGGCAATGCATGCATTTAATTAAAGTAAGTGAGGAAGTATTCCAAAATGATTTAGTAAATAATCTCAATGGCATAAGGTTGCATCACAAAATCAAATTAAATTCAAATCAGTGTGTGTGAGCAAATGTGTTGGTGCATTTTAAAAGTTGACATTTCATTTTGAAAACACACCCATAATCAAAATGTGTTCAAATGACGAGACAACACATATTGTTGTGATAATCATGAGTGGAGACTGAAAGGTGTGCGCATGCACCAGGAAACATATCAAAGATTAAAAGTAAACTCACATGCATGCATTTTGGCAAGCTTGCAAAGCTTGAAGATTGAAATCAAGATAGTTTCGTTAGACTTGATGCATTATTTTATTAAAATTTAAGCCTAAGTTATATTATTTGGAAAGGTGTGCAGGTACTATAAAAGACATCAATTTGAAAAGCTTACAAAAATTTGCTTTCAAGTTGAAATTCACATGTTGCACATGCTCGAATGGGCCTCCTTGCTTTTAGGGGAAAATTTGAAGTCCCAATTTTCTTGTTTTATGATGCACGAAATAAGATTGGAGTTGGCTAGGTTAATGATCCAATGTTCTTATTTGGAATCAATTTCCTTTCCTTCAGACTCTTTATTTAATTATCTTATTCCTTCTATGATTTTTCCCACACATTTTGGAAATTGAAACTGTTCTTTTGCTTTTTTACCCTACTTAATATGTGTTTGTGGAGCAATCCTTTCATTGTTGATTTTGGAAATATTTTTGTAAATTTTCTGGATTCCTACTCGGCAAATTTCTTTTATTTCTGCAAATGTTGGTTGTTTTTAATTTTTAGGTCTGTTTTACTCTTGCTTTATTCTCCTTTGCTTTCTGAGTAGGTTGGAATGGATCATCCTCCTTCCTTTGATGCGTATGAACAATTAAGATGCTATCTGTGTGATTTGATGGGGACTTTTGCACTGCTGTTTTTCAGGATTCTTTAGTGTGATGGTCTTGGCAATCTCATTTCAATTGCTTTTGCGAATGTCAGCTCTTTCTATTTTTAAATTTTTTTCTATTTTTTACTTTTGTTCTTTCTATAGTTGTGAGCTTTTGAATAGGTTGGGATGGTCTGTTTTTCATCATTTGATGTAGATCAACATTTAAGATACTATTTGCTGTCCTTTTCTTTGAGAATAGTGCTTTTAACACACTTGTTATGATTTTTAGTATGTTGATCTTTTTCGTATCCAATGTTGGTGAGACAATAGGGCAATAGAATACCACATTTTGTTATTTCATAAAAATGATAGTGTTTTATTATTCTTTTGATAATTTTGTATTGATACTTTGATGAGAGCAAAGTTTCTAGATAGCATCTTATTTAGTTCTACTAGGCCTTCTGAAATTTCAACGCAGAACCACTCATATATATTTTGAGGGAATTTTTAGAGCCACCCTTTTCTGTCATGCTTAGATGACATTCAATTTTATGTATTATTTCCTCATGCTTGTAGTCCTAATGCTCCATTAAATTACTAATGGTATCCGTCTGAGTATTTAATTTAACCATGATAATTTTTCGAACTAGTTGGAACTAGTGCTTCGATATCAAAATATGATCTAGAGTTGACATGGACAATGCTTATGAAATTCGGACCAAGTATTTGGGGGCAATGAGTTGTCTTTCTTTTTAATTTATTGAGGTATGATGATTTTTTCCTTAAATATTGAATTAATGTATTGTTTTGGGTTAGAAAGCTGCAATGGAAACTAGTTTATGTGTTGGATATTTTTCTATCTGTTGTCTATGTGATGTCTACTAATTTGAGCAAAGAGGATTTCAGCTCAAATGTTTGAAAAAAGAGGGATCATTTGCTGCAATTTAATTACTGGCTACCATAAGTTATAGAAGCCATTAGTATTCTAACAACTGAGGTCAACCATAATGCTCAAATAATAGGAAACGATAGGAAAGTCAAAACCGAGAGGAGAAGTTGAAGGATGTTGGAGTAAAAAGTAAAGGAGTAAATTTTGGAAATGTAAGTCAAATTTCTTTGATTGTTTCAAAGAAAATGATCATTAGGACATTTTTTTTTCTTTTTATTAAAAATTTGCTTGATTATCTATTCTTTATTGTTAAATTTGCCTTCAGTTGTCTCTAATATCTCCATTTATTCGTAGTCTAAGGGTTCAACAGAATCACCATTTTGTCTTAGTTCACGGGTTCCATAGAATCTCCAAGTGCATCTTTTCTGGCCTCTAATTTAACCATGGAAAATTTCCACATTAGTTGGAATTATTGTTTGGATACGAAAATGTAATCTTTAATTTGACAATGGATAAGGCTGATGGAATTGGTAAGAAGCATCTTAAGATAAGAGAATTTTGTTTACGTGTTAATGTATTGTTGGATAATGGGTTTCTATTTCTTTTTTTGCCATAATTAGTGAGTGAATTTATTTTTTTGTGTAATAAAAGAACAGGATGACTAACTGTGTTGGACAGGTTTCCTGTTTTTGGTTACAGTCTCATAGCCGTAGTAATCATGTCATATTGAATCACCAATGGCATCCATCCAGGTTTTTAATATAACCATGAATTTTGTTCACACTAGATGGAGCCAGTGCCGTTACTGAAATGTGATCTAAAGTTGATGTGGATAATGATTCAGGAAGTGGCAGAAAGTACATTAATAAGAGGGAATTGTATTTTATTAGTAATGTCATAAGGTATACTGGTTTTCTCTTTTCTTTTTTCCTTTAATTAGTAAACGCATTTATTGTTTTTGGGTTACAAAGGGAGAGGGAATCAACAAATTTGTGTGTTGGACAGATTTATGGTGACTCAATCCATAAAGTTTGTGACTAAACCTAATGGTTTTGCACAAGTGTACTACTGATGCTGGAAGAAATGGTAGAAAAAGCTAATACATTTTTTGGTTCTACATCTTAGTTTCCTGTGGTTTTAAGTGATATAATTCAGTGGCGTCCCAACAAGGAAGGTTAGCTAAAGTGCTTGGGCTAGGAATGACAATAGGTAGAGGAAAAACTGCTTAGCATTAGAGGGAAGGATGAAGCTTTAGAAATGGTAATTTAAATTTTCTTTCAATCTGAATTTCATTTTAGATTACAAACTTCATGTCTATTTATAGAAATCCAAGATAAGTTGAAAAATTTATGAAAGTTTGAAATAAATCAGAATGTGGTGGCTGCTCCTTAGAAATAGCTAACTCTAGATTCTCTCTTTAAATTGTTTATTTAAAATTAAGGATAAATAGGAGTGAAATTTGTTTACCTGATTAACTCAATTTAAATCTCTTGATTATTCTTTCTTTTGTAACATAAGATTTTAAAACTGCAATTTTGCAATTAAGCTCCCATGTCTTTCATCTTTACAAACTCATCCTTACATTGTTGATTTTTAAAAGTTTTCTAGAGCCTTCGATTGATTAGTCTTGTTTGTATGATAAATTATATAAAGATTCATGCTTCCACAATCTTTGTGCAATTGCTTTAGAATAATGCAATGATTCTTCTAAATTTTAACCATCAAATCATCGTAAGACTTGAGATGGCCTATTAATTAACTTTAATGGATCAACACTAATTTTGAAGCTTTATTTTGAATCTAATGGTCTAATTAAAATGATCCATTGAGGCAAATTTTAAATCTCAAAAGCTTAATACTTCCATCATGCATTTATTTCTTTAGCGTTATAATGGTCCAACTCTATGGTATTCTGTTTCTTAGCCTTTCTATTGATTGTATGATCCAAATGCCTGTTAGAAAATGGCAAAATTATTCAATATGGTTCTCAGAGACAGTAACTTCTATCTTGTTGATAATACTAAACCACCATTCACATTCATAACTATAAATATCTGTACCTTTGTGGATCCATTCTTATCCTTCTTTTTGAGGCAACTTATTAACCTGAGAGTCAGAGTATCATCACGAGAGTACACTCTTTGGGGCAGACACATTTTTCTTTAGATGTGGATATATAGGAAGTGAATGTTTGTGATGATTAACATACTCCGAAGAACTATTCTGACAACAATTGTTCTTTTTTTTTTTTTTTTTGAACTTTGTAACAAGAGTTTGCCTGTTATAACCTTGCATTGATATTATTCCATTTTTATTACTTTTTTTCTTTATTATTTTATACTTACCATGTATGAGAATTAAGATGCACTTTGAATTGTATGGCTCTTTCTAAATGGCATTTATTTATAGCCTGTAAATTTTTCGCGTCTTTATCTTCACTTTTATTTTTAAATTTTAAAGTGCTGTTGATGCGTCGTTCATATTATTTAATATCATGCATCACTAGTCAGATTTCTACCTATTTCAGTCTAATTTTATGCCTAAGTATTATATATATTATATATACTCGACTTGATGGAATAGAATTAAAACTTTGGAGAATGAGAAAATTTGAGCCTTTGTGTATTATGCCTTGATCATTGGTTTGTGTTATTTGATTTCTATTGGCAATTCGTCTGCAGATCTTTTATTTTGAGATTTACTGCAGCAACAGTCATAAGATTAAACAATAGCAGTGCTCTTGGTTGTTATCATTTTATGGAAAGTCGGTTTGAATAAACTTTCTCCCACCCTTTTCCCAAAATATTGTAAAAGGAACTACAGCTGATTACATGCTAAATTAAGCCAGGCTACTTTTTTGCGTTGTCAATTGTCCATCTCCCTACCTCACCTATATAGACTCAAGCTTGTCCTCAGTACTTGCACATGCATACGCTCATGCACTGTCGCACAATACAATAAATTAAAACAATTAAATTGAATGCTGGATCTATAATTTATACATGGTTTTTTGTTTCTTGCATGAATTATTGAATGCTGGATTCTTTCTTCTAATCGTTATTGTGCATATTGTTCATAGTTGCGGGACTTAGAGAGGGGTGTTGATGTACTTGTTGCAACACCTGGCCGATTGGTTGATCTGCTTGAAAGGGCTAGAGTGTCATTATCAATGATCAGGTATTTAGCGCTAGATGAAGCTGATAGAATGCTTGATATGGGGTTCGAGCCACAAATCAGAAAGATTGTGGAGCAGATGGACATGCCTCCACCAGGTCAAAGGCAGACTATGCTTTTCAGTGCCACTTTTCCCAGAGAGATTCAGGTTGATTTATTAATTGTTCATTTAACATTGTCAGTCATAATGGGCGTTGATTGCATTTATGCTTCTTATATGTATCTTTATTGGGCTATTGGGTTGCTTCACATATATCACTGGTTTGAATTCAGTTAAAATAAGCACAGCCTACCATTGAGTTCTAGAGTCAAATTGATTAATGAGGTTGCAATTTTATGCATTGGTGAGCTTAATGACTTCTTTCACTAATATATAGTTTCTCCAATCGGCCCATTTCAATGTATACAGTTTGCATTGTTCAGAAGTTCTTAATTAGCGTTTGTTAGCTATTTAATTTTTTTTCACCGTTTCAGCAGTTATTTTTAGTGCTGATGCACTTTATGAAGAAATTTGTGCTTATTATGTTTTCGATGTTGGCTTAAGGACCGATAAGGATTGTTTTAATTATCACATGTTAAACTGTGAGCTATTTAAAATTGTTCACCAATGATTTTGGCCTTGTTTTAGGAAACTTCCTTACTTCTTTCTGTTTCAGAGAAAGTCATTTATTCGTTTGTTAACTTCTTTGGTTATACTTTTTTAAAAAAATGCTTTTAATAAAACTTCATTTATTCATCGCTGTTTCATAAAACTTCATTTATTCATCAATATTTCAGAACGTTATTTTTATTGAACTTCAAAAAGCTGCTTTTCTTAAAATTGCTTTTTTTTTAATTTATAAAAAAAAAAAAACATCAAGAAATAATGCCTTAGTGAGAGTTTTTATGGTCTATTTTGTTCTCGATTGAAATTGCTGGGCAATAATTGTTGGTTATGCTTGATTGCTCAGATTGCATACATTTTCTTTCTAAGTGAATTGGTAGCTATTAATTTTTTTTATTTTATGATTTTCGTTTGGTTGAGTATGATGATCAATATAACCTTTTTGGTTTCCGCTTTGCTATCGTTTCTCAATTAGAAGATTAAAAAGGGGACATTATCCCAAATTGTTCGTTTCAAGTAGTAGGCTTAAGGGTCTGTTTGGGACATCTACAGCTTATTGACTAATCTGCTGATAAGCAGCTTATCCGGATAAGTTGCTTTGAGCTGTTTGAAAACAGTTGATTTGCAACTGTTTCTGAATAAATGATCATTCTGTCCCTGTTAAGTAATGTTGTTTGCAACAAAACTGTTTATGGTATAGAGAATAATGTATTTCCAATTTAGGGTTGCTTCGATTGCGGCAATGACATCGATTTGGCTTTAACGATAGAAGAGCATTGATGTGCGATTTGGTCATGTATAATTATGTTGTGAAACCATCATTTAGTAGTATAATACGGGATCTACTAGTTTACTATGGCCCGCATTCTCTATTGTTTCATAACTCATGACAAGAATCAAGGTTCATTGCGTGTGTTAGTAGGGCGATATATATAGTAGAGCAAATTGCAGAGGCTAAGGTTTGGTCAATGAGAAATCAGATGGTGTTGATGAAGAGGCCATTTCCATAGTAAATAACTGTTTTTTTTTCTCTTCAAACACCTAATTTTAACAGCCGATAGAGAGCCAGTGATTTTCAACATAAAAAAAAAAAACACACAACCCCGTTAAAGCCAAATCAATGTCATTCCCAATTGAAGCAAATCTAAAATCCGGATAAACACCATCTGATATCTCATAGACCACAGCAGTTAAAATTTGCATCATACTTTTTAACTATGGACACCGTATTCTACCGTGGCAATAGTTATCAAAATTAGATTCGAAACCTTCATCATCACATTAAAGAATATTATGTAAATTTTCACGTTATGAGATTTACATAAAAAGTTTAGGGTTTTAGGGTTTAGGGTTTAGGGTTTAGGGTTTAGGGTTTAGGGTTTAGGGTTTAGGGTTTAGGGTCCTTCCCAAAATTTCATCCTTGTTTATCACCACCTTATCAATAAAAAAGACACCTTCACATATCCTAAGGAATCCAATACATCCATACTGATCCAATATAAAATCATAAGTTTCAATTCAACAACTGAACCGTATAAATTTAGCATCTAAAACAAAATCAAGATAAAACACCCTGCAAAATCCATAACTTAACAAACCATTTTAAACTAATAAGTTAAAATTACGGAGACCCAATTCGAAACCTAAAATCGAAGCGCCAATCAACATCATAATCCAGATAAACACCGACAATGATTCACCAGAATCCAGAGAAAAAAAAAAATCAAAATTAAACCTCTAACAGATTGATAAAAAAACAGGATATTGAAGATCCGAAAATTCAATATCTCGAATCCAAATTAAATCCTGCAGCATCGAACAAGAAGCAGCGAAGGATAACCTATGGTGAGAGAGAGAACCTGAGGATCGCCGTAAATCCGGAGGCAAGGGAGCCAAATCTTCTTCTGTGCATGCTCTGGGCGAGCTGAAATCGGAGAGGGAGACGAGATTGCTCGCGCGTTTCCGAATCCACCGATCAAACGTGAAAAACAAACACGGTGTTTTCAAAACACCTAACATGTAAATAAGCTGCCCCAAATGGGGCCTAAGTTGATAGTAGTCAATGGTCACTGTTATAAAAGTGGTTTGATGATGGATCTATGAGATTCTCTGCTGTCCCATATATTTTACCATTTCTCTTTGTGGCATGCTTTAGATTTTGTAATTGGATTTATAACATGAATACTATCTATTTACACGGGCATGTTTGCCATAGCATCTGCACAAGACCTTTTAATTTGCTGAGTACTTGTATTTGGATTTGACTGTTTGCTTAAAAAAATATCTACATAAGCATATTTTTTTGATAAAACATTCATTCATGCATGCATTTATGTATCTACATACACGTGATGGGTTTCTGTGCAACCAATCAAACATATTGATGTTCCTCTTTTTTTTTTTATGTTCCTTCATATATATGACAATACTTTGTTTTGTGACCGCTATCAAATTTTCTTTTGAAATTTTTTTTTAATAGTATTGTTATTATTCGAGGCATTCTGTTATTTTTTATTGTTGCTATTTTCGGTTTCTGGCTCAGATAAGAAAGATTTGAATGTTGATACAATGATGATTTGCTGTTAAATCTAACCTTCAAACTAATGAAGGAATTTGGATTTTTATATAGCTGACCACAAATATTTAGGACTAGGCTGAAGATGATGAATGATTAACTTTTAGCAGAAGGATGAGAAGTTTATTTTGTTTCGGTGCTATTATTGGGGCATTTACACACAGCCTGTAATTCTAATGCATTTATATATCAGATACCCAAACTTTCATATTTAGACGCATAGCTTTATTATCACGTCAAAAAGTGCACTATTACTAAAAAGTGCACTATTACTAAAAAGTGAAATATACCTTTTCATGCATAGTTTTAAAACACCAAAGTGATGTATGTAAAGCTGAAAGTTTAGAAGTGGCATGTAAATACATAAGAATTGTGTGCTTGATATGTAGATTTCCCTTTATTAAATTGGTGTGTTAACATCTTTCCTGTTGTCATGTGGACAGCTGATAGTTATGTGCTAGAACTTTTATCTGCCTTCATACGTTTATGACTTTGCTGTAGAGACTGGCTGCTGATTTTCTTTCCAAATACATCTTCCTTGCTGTGGGAAGGGTTGGTTCCAGTACTGATTTGATCGTCCAGAGAGTGGAATTTGTTCAAGAAACTGAGAAAAGAAGCCATCTTATGGATCTTCTTCACGCCCAAAGAGCAAATGGAGTGCAAGGGAAGGTGATATCTCTGTATTTATTTTCCTGCTATGTATGCTATTGAACCTTACGGATAATTATCTTCTAGTTTCATTTACCCTTTGTTAAGTTCTTCTTTGTTGCTCATACAAACTTTTATTTCATGTTTATTTTGAATTTTTCCTATATTTTTTTATAACTTGTTTTTAATTTTACTTCTGTTTTAACTGCGACAGCAAGCATTGACTTTAGTTTTTGTGGAGACAAAGAAAGGAGCTGATTCCTTGGAACACTGGTTATGTATGAATGGATTTCCTGCGACTTCTATTCATGGAGATAGAACACAGCAAGTAAGATATCTGTTCCTGTTATTGTTGTCGGCCATCTGCTTAGCAGTTCGTTTGATGAAGTTTGATGCATCTAAATTCCTTCATATTTGCTTTTAATTTTGTGTGGTGGGGTATGGATGATTCAACCTTCAAGAAATCTGTTAGTGGGTGTATTTTCTTGTGATTCTTTTTTGTCACTTAGGAGAAAAGGAATTTGATAAGATTCAAGCAATCCACAAAAAATAGGGCAAATGAATATTTTATTGCAAGAACATCAAATAACATGAATATATAAGACAATCACCTGCAATTTGAGAGGTAGGAAATCTCTCCAAATCCTATCCCTAAGGCTCAAGACAACAATCTTTTGCATAACCTTAACCCTAAATATATTAGCCGATTTATACTAAACAATAATAAATAATTAAAGACTAAATTGTTCTGAGGCGTTGGCGTAACAATACTCCCATCCCAAAAATACACTTGTCGTCAATGTGGAAGAGAGAAAATTGTTAATGGATCCAATCATATGGCTCCCCACATAACAACGCTCCCCTCCCAAAAATACACCCTCATTAGTTAGAAATGCAGTCTTGTGCATTTTCTTCGGTTTTATCCGAAACTGTTGGTATCCTGACTTCAAATTAGTTTGGGAGAAAAATGCAGCCTCAAAATACTCATTCAGTACCTCATCGATCATTGGAATCTCTACGAAGTCTCTATTATGTGTCTCTTCCTTGCGATGCAGTTCAATCAAGAATCCCAACCCCGTGTTTTGAATTGAACTCACCATAATCTTGAACATTACCGAAGTCTTGCACAAATTAGAGTCATCGTCAAAAACCACCATCTTAGTCTCCCTCTTAAATACTCCACAGTGTTAGATTCAGATACTTACGAACTCCAATGCTCATCTCAGCCTATCTCATTCCCATTATTAGCCGTGAATCGTCTTCCTCACAGAAGAATGCCACAGCAAAGGGCACTGACGTGGTTGGCGATCCATGCCACAACCCTTTCCGTCGAACTTTTATGGCCCCGAATTGCAGGTTATCTCGTTTCTCCTGCTGCCACTCATTTCAAACTTCTATGTTGCGTCATTACCTTGAGATGCTACCACTCGAATATGCTCCCTACTTCTTCTCTTAATCCTGCGTGCTTTAGTTTGTTCCAGCGATTCAGATGTCATGCGATTTCTTCCAATTGTGGTCGTTCGAGTCTGTTCCCAGCTCCTTTACTAGATTTTGGCTACTTTCGTTTGTTCCAATCATCTGGTGTCGTGTCATTCCTTCCAAGTGCTGCCTCTCATGTCCGCTCTTACTCCTTTGCTTGATTGTGCTGCTCTAAATCGGCCTAAGGCGACGATGCTGCCCTGATGTTGCATAATTCCTTCAAATTGTTGTTGCTCGAGTTTAATTTCTATGCTCTAGCTCGATCCTGCAGCGGGCGATGGTCCATTTGCGTATAACTCCATGAACTTCATCATTTCTTCCATAACCATGAATCTCTCTTCCGTGGACAACCTACCTCTCGATAGTTGAGAAACGCTCCTTTCCAGATCTGATTTGGTTCAACTCTTTCTCTAATATCTTCTCCAAATCATCCTTTTTTGTCGTAATTACTCCCGAGTCGGTTTTGGAACTCTATTATAGCGTGATCCTATCGTTTGGCTTCCCAGCCGTCTCAATTCGTGATGGTATAGCAGAACGGCTAGGTTACGCTCTTTACGATTTTGTTTGATTCCTCAACAATCTCGAGCATGACTTTATATTGAACCACCGTGATCCTGTGTGACGTTCATTCATGTACGCTACAATCCTGTCATTTGGCTTGCCAACCTTCACAAATCGCCGCTGTATTGCCGCTCGATCTTGTCACGTCCGCTGCAATCTCTTATGCTTCGTCGGCTTTTTCAATCACGTCATGTTGGTGACCTGCTAAACCTTTATGCTACTATCCCTTCTGTAGGCTGCGATCCTTCTTTGCTTCCCAAATCGGATGCTCTAATACCAGTTTAATATGATCCAAGGAGATTTTTTTTGTAGAAATTAGAACAACTGAATCTTTTGTTGCAAGAATATCAAACAACTGAACACGAATTCATTAGATACGTACCTACAATTCAAGAGATATGCGCTCTATCCCAATTCCTACAATTCTAAAGGTATGAAATCTTTCCCAAACACTAACTCTAAGATGCAAGACAACAATCTTCTGCATAACCTAAGCATTTTTGCCCAATTTATCCTAAGTAATAACAAATAATAGAAGATTAAATTGCCCTTGGGGGCTGGCGAAACAAAAAATATTTTGACAGTTGACTTTTATTTTTTCTCTTCAGCGGTTTTCTGTTGATTTTCAACCAAGTCATTTAATTGTAAAATCGATGGGCATCCAACGTTGCAATACTTGAATGGATTGTTTAATGTGATTACCAAATTGAGCATCTTAAATTTAAATTATACCTGATATAAGTGTTGCGTTTTTGGAGTTGAAGGACAGTTTTATTTTTTAGCGAAGTTTTGTTAGTGATTTTAGATAGCAATTTCCAAGGAGCGGTGGTAACTAGTATGTATTATTATGTTTTGATTTGTATGTTGTTGTTAATGCTATTTCTTTGAAGAATGTATAAAATCTCCATGGTCTCGGAAGCCACCTTGCTCTACCCATAATTTTTTTTGATCATTGGTACCCTCATCTTTTATGCAAGTAGGTTTTGATCACGTTCAAGTCCAGTCAGTTTCAGGCGTGTTTGAGGCTGAAACTGACATATTTTTATGTAAATCTGTAGCCCTATTCTTATTGTCTCCACTTATCATTCCATATCTTGGGGCTTATTTGGATTTTTTTTAAAATTTTAAAAACATGTTTGTTTATTATATTTTTGTATGTTTCTATTTTTTAAAAAAAATTAATTTGGCTTGTTTTTAAAAACACTTGGAATGTCTAAACGTTGTTTGGAGTGTTTTTAAAAACTATGCATGTTATATCATTTTTTTTAACACAGGATAAAGGCTTATTGTTGTTTTTGTTGTTGTTTAACGTAGGAACGTGAGTATGCTCTCAGATCTTTCAAAACTGGTCAGGCTCCAATTTTGGTGGCAACTGATGTTGCAGCCCGTGGCCTCGACATTCCACACGTGGCTCATGTAGTAAACTTTGATCTTCCTAATGACATTGATGACTACGTGCACCGGATCGGAAGAACGGGGAGAGCAGGAAAGTCGGGTTTGGCGACTGCCTTCTTCAACGATAACAATGCCTCTTTGGCCAAGCCGCTGTCTGAACTCATGCAGGAATCGAACCAAGAGGTACCGCCTTGGCTAGCTCGGTATGCATCTCGATCTTCTTACATGGGTGGCGGTCGTAATCGGCGCTCAGGAGGAGGCCGCTTTGGTGGCCGTGACTTCAGGAGGGACACATTCGGCAGGGGGGGCGGTGGCGGTGATTACTATGGCGGTGGAGGTGGTGGCGGTTATGGCGGTGGAGCATCATCCGGTTATGGTGGTGGTGGTGGTTATGGTGGAGGCAACCCTGGGTCAGGGTTTACAAGCGCATGGGACTGATCCTTTGGTAGCATTGTCTTTAACACTGTATTTTTGTCTGTCATTTCTTCAGATTATATATTCTTGACTAGGGTTTAATATCACTGAAGATTAAGTTATGGGGGTAATTGCCCCCCCCCTTCCCACCTTTTTGACTTTTAAGTTTAATGAGTAATGTCTCCTTTTATTTGGCTTCCATTGTTGTTTGGCTGTATTTAATGTTTGGTTTGGTTGACCCTGGTTTTCGGTTTTTAAAATAGTAGTTATGACCGTTGTCTCATGAGTTGTAATTTCCTCTCTCTCTCTCTCTCTCTCTCTCTCTCTCTATATATATATATATATATATATATATAAATTAATTGTTGAAGCAAAATTCCCATATTTGTCTACAAGATTGGTAAGAGCAGTTGCCCTTTGGACCTGGTTGGCTGCTTGCAGTTACATTAATCTTATTTATTTCAAATTTTACATAAATTTCTTAGACATGTAAATTCTATCTACTACTATTAATCATTTTGAAATGTATTTTATTTATTTATTCTTAATTTATTTTTCAGCAAAAAAAAACGGTAACTTAAAATTTATAGAATAATCTCTGGATAAGTTGGGTAAATGTTTTAGATACAACAGTGATTGACCGGGTTTTAGTTTGAATCAACTTGGGATTGCACAAAGCTGTTACCTGAAGTTCTCTTCATTTATTCGCTAATGTGGGGGGCTAGTTCGAGTCTATTTGCTCCTTCTGTGATCAATTAACTTTGATTAATTCTTAATATGCTAAAAATTAAAAAATTTAATAAATTTTTTTTTATCGTATAGGTTCCATTCAATTTGATCTAAGTTTTAACTAAGAAAATTGAGTTTTTATGAACCTAAACCAAAAGAACTTTAGAATTCGGTTTATTAAGGGTCCGTTTGGGGCAGCTTGTGCGTTTTAGGATAAGCTGCTTATCACCGCAGGTCGGCCGCAGGGGTCGACTCGCGACCTGTATTTTGTGTAAAAACTCAAACGTTGTTTCGAATAAGCTGGCGAAAAGTGTGAAACAAACGGTATGACGGCGTTTTGAAAATGTTGCCCGCACAAATTAGGTTTTCCTTGAAAAGCTGCAAAGCTGTGAATTAGCTACATTGCGTTGTTACACGGCCACATCAACGTTGACTTTTGAAAATGTTGCCCGCACAAATTAGGTTTTCCTTGAAAAGCTGCAAAGCTGTGAATTAGCTGCATTGCGTTGTTACACGGCCACATCAACGTTGACTCAAAACGCACCCTAATAGTTGGCTTAAGAGAATCGTTGCCAATCTATTTTTTCCCACCATTATAATTTATTTAGTTGCTTGTATTTTTATATTCAATTTATCCACCATCATGGGCTTAAATGAGTCGAGTTAAGCTCGAGCCCACGTCGGCTTGAGCTTGAGTCTGAGTTTTATTAATTTTATTGAGGTCGAGCTTAAATCCAATACGAGTCGAGGGCAATAAAATAAGTTGGCTACTAGAATTAATAATTAGGAGATAAATAATAAGAAATCACCTAATATACAATAAAATGTATTATTTTCTTAACGTTTTTAAAACCTTAACGATAAATTTTTGAAATTTAATATATTTTGAGTATATTTTATGTTAATATTTTTTTTAAACAAGCTAATGAGTTGATTCGGGGTTGGTTTGAGCTTGCCTTGTTAGCTCATCGAGCTCAGGTCACGAGCCTTTTATTGAGCCGAACTCAAGCAGGCTCACGAGCCAGCTTGGCTCACTTGCACCCCTATTCACTAGCTTAGTAAATATAAAGTATGAAAATTTACATACATACCACATAATTCCTTAATATTTACATTTCTAAAATTTGTTGTGATTAAGCTATGCTTGAGATATATATTTCCTTCTAACAAATATAGTGATATTTTTTATGACATGTTAAAATTTTGATAGATATATAAATACAGAAAAATTATGTGGTATGTATGTAAATGCTCTAAACATGTTGGAACTGGTCTTGTTTGGGCCAAATCAACTTGTTGTAGCCTCAAAAGTTGCCGACGAGCTTCATTTTAGGTATCAGCCGGAACCTTGGTCGCCTGAAGTTCAGCGCGGTAATCGCCCTCTTCTAGTTTTTTACTTGGTTCGGTTCCGTTCTCTTAGAAACAGATCCAGGTGTCTGATTCAGTTAGGTTTCTGATATTTTTGGAAATCCATCTGCAGCTCTGGAACAAACCAATTAAGTAAGGCCAAGGATCACGCAGCAGTCCAGATTAACATTGGTCATTTTGACGAGCACGGAGTTTGTGCTAGGACCTTTTCCACTTCCGCGCTTTCTGTATTCATCCGAGCTCAGGTTGGTGAACTTCCTTTTAATTGCTCTTTAATTCGCTTTTAACTGAACTGCTGTTTATAACTTCTTGCTGCTGTCAATTCTTTATTGTGGTCTAGGTCTTTGTTAGTTGTAATTGTAATTTTACTATTTTTTGGTGCATTTAATTCATATTGAACTTTTAGGGCATTTATGCGGCCTTAGGCTTTTGAAATCTAATGGTGCTCTGTAGTTTGGATGTTCCTTTTCATATCTACCCTTAATAAATGCATTTGGCCAATTTATTGCTGAAAAAATACGTCTGCCCATTTTATTGTGAGAAACGGGGCCTAAATGCATATGAGATATTGTTCTTTGAATTCTTTCAATTAATTTCTTAGGTAAAGTTGAAGGCCATTTGATTTAAATTTATTTGTTCTTACACTGATTGAATTTCAGTTAATTATAAGCAGTTTTATTTTATTAGGGCATTTACATACCTGCCCCAAAATTCTTGTATTTGAATATTTATCACCTAAACCTTCACATTTACATGCATACGTCTACAATCTTTAATATGACCTAAAAAATATTATCGTTACTAACTTTTTAGAAGTGAAATGTACCTTTGCATGCATGGTGTTATGACACCAAGATGTTATAATTGTAAATATAAAATTTTGGGTGTTATGTAAATACATTAGAATAATATGGTATGTATGTAATTTTCCCTTTTTAATTTTGCAGTATTTACATACATATCACAAAGTTCTTATGTATTTATATATCTTACACTTAAATTGTCATTACTTGGTTTGGGGGGTTAGAATTATGAAGATGGAAATTGATGGTTAGACAAAAAAAAAATATAATAGTTTCATGTCATAATTGAATACAATCCAAAATACAAAAAAAAATAAAAATCATTTCATTTCATTAAATTTTAATTTACAACAATTTATTCATATTTAACTTATATATCTAACAAAACATAAAATCTGAAATGTAATACCTATCTATCTGAGCTTTTCGACGTTTGTACAAATACTCTATGATTTACTACCTTATAATAATTTTTTTGAAAATGTTTGCAGTTGAAGATGTGAGTTAAATCATTCAATGGGTAAAATATCTTTAATATTATAATTGTTCTTTTTAAAATATTTTTGTAAAATTCAACAGAGCTTTAAAAAAATTGTTAGCAGTAAAAAAAAAATTTCTATTTATTTTTATTCATTTATTATAATATCTATCAGTTGGAGTCGCCGTTTAAATGTGTACCAAAAATATAATTTTTTTTTCAAAATTTGCCATAAAGTTAAACATTCATTTTCATTTTCATTTAAATTTATGGTGCACGACTATATTGCATCCCCTGTCAGTATCATCAAGGAGTGACTCCTCATATGCATCTATAATCATATTTATTTATTTATTTTATTTAACATTTGAAAAATATAAACTTTGGTATATTGAAAGAAATTCTATGAGTAGTAAATAGAGTTATATTTGTCTTGCTAAATAAATAAAAGTATTGTAAAATAAAAATATTTTTTTTATCTGCATAGGTTTTGCTTTGTGTTTTTTAATCAATGTAGTCACTTAGGGTCCGTTTGAGACAACTTTCTGCATGATTTGCTTTTCAGACTACCACCACAATTTTGTTTGAGGTACTGTTTTTTTGTTGCTTTTAGGAATTGTCGTGGTAAAAAACTGTTTTTTTCAACTTGAGCTGTTAAAGTGTGGTATCTGTCAGAAAGCTGAGATCCGACTTTTCGAAAAAAAAATAAATTTGTAATAGCCAATGTAATTTTTTAAGATGTACTTTATTAGCAACAATTTCACAATTGTTGCTTCAAACAATTACAGCTGCCCCAAACAAACCCTTAGTTGAATCTTAATAACAATTTATATTGATTAATATTGATATACACTGAACACATTATTTGATTTTTTATTAAAATAATAGATAATTATTAATTTTAATAATTAGAAGTTAAATAATTACTTATTAATTTTGCTAGAAAGTTAAGCGTGTGTAGGAAGTGAATGACTGTCATGATTAACATACTCCTAAGAACTATTCTGACATCAATTGTTTTTTTTTTTTTTTTTTTTTTTTTTTTTTTTTTTGACTTCTAACAAGAGATCACACATAAATGTTTCAAGTGTGATTAACATACTCCTAAGTGCTATGTATGTAATTCTGAAAGTTCAGGCGTGAGATATGTAAATACATAAGAAATGTGTGCTTGGTATGTAAATTTCCCTTTATTAAATTAGTGTCTTAAAATCTTTATTGATGCCATGACAGCTGATAGTTATGTGCTAGAACTTTTGTCTGCCTTGACACTTTGATGACTGGCAGCTGATTTTCTTTCCAAATACATCTTCCTTGCTGTGGAAAGGGTTGGTTCCAGCACTGATTTGATGGCCCAGAGAGTGGAATTTGTTCAAGAAACCGATAAAAAAAGCCATCTTATGGATCTTCTTCTCACCCAAACAGCAAACGGTGTACAAGAGAAGGTGATTTCTCTTGATTTTATTTTACCGCTCAGCGTGCTATTGATTCTTACGGATAATTTATTTTCTAGTTTCATTTGCCCTTTGATAAGTTCTTTGTTGCTCATTCAAATTTTTATTTCATGTTTATTTTGGATTTTTCCTATATCTTATTATAACACTTTCTTAACTTTTTTACTTCTGCTTTAATTGCTGCAGAAAGCATTGACTCTAGTTTTTGTGGGGACAAAGAAAGTAGCTGATGCCTTGGAGCATTGGCTATGTGTGAAGGGATTTCCTGCGACTTCTATTCATGGCGATAGAACACAGCAAGTAAGATATATATTCCTGTTTTTGTTGTCGGACAACTACTTAGCAGATCGTTCAATTAAGTTGATGACATCTAAATTCCTTCATGTATTCTTTTATTCTTGTTTGGTGGGGTATTGATGATTCAACCCCCAAGTAGGAAATCTGTTTATCTGTGGCTGTTTTCTTGTGATTCTTTTTTGTCACTTAGGAGAGAAGGAGTTTGATACTTACGAGAAAAGGAATTTGATACGATTAAAGCCGGTTTTTCTATAGAAATTAGGGTAAATGAATATTTTATTGCAAGGACATCAAAGGCAAATGAATATTTTATTGTAAAAACATCAAACAACTCAACACAAGCGCATAAGATAAGAACCTACAAGTTGAGAGGTAGAAAACGTTTCCCAAACCCTAACCCTAAGACTCAAGACAACAATCTTCTATCTAACTTTAGCCCTAAACATATTAGCCGATTTATACTAAATAATAATAAATAATAAAAGACTAAATTGCTCTTAGGCATTGGCGTAAAAATACTTTCCTATCAAAAATACACTTGTCCTCAAGGTGGAAGAGAGAAAATTGTTACTGGATTCAGTCGTATGGCTCTCCACGTAACAAAACTCCTCTCCAAAAATTGCTCCCTCATTAGTTCTAGATGCGATCTTGTGCACATCCTTTTGTCGTATCCAAATCTTTTATTACCCCGACTTCAAGTAAATCTGGGAGAAAATTGTATCCCCAAACAACTCGTTCAATAACTCATCGATCATTGAGATCTCTGTCAACTCCCAATTATGTTTCTCTTCCATGTTATGCAACTCGATTAAGAATCTCAATCCCGCGTGTTGAATTGACCTCACCACAGTCTTGAGTGTTACCAAAAGTCTCGCACAAATTGGGGTTACCATCAAACACCACCATCTTGTCTCCCTCTTGAATACTCTGTAGTGTCAAAATCAAACCCTTACAAACTTTCTTTCTCTTCTCAACCTACCTCGTTCTCCTTATTAATCCCGAGTCACCTATTGCTCGGAAGGCTGCTACGATGACAGTCACTGGCGTAGTTGGTGTTCTAGCTTTATCCTTTGAGTTGATTTTCGCAAGCCCTGAATCACATGTCATTCTGTTTGACCTGCCACCACACATTCCAGACCTCCATGTTACTTCATTACCTCCAGGTGTTGCGGCTCAAATTCACTCCATATTCTTTCACTCAATCTCACCGACTTTAGTTCATTTCAGTCGTTTCGATGTCATGCTACTTTTTCCAAGTGTTGTCGCCCGAGTTCACTCTTAACTCATTCGCTCGATTCCGACCGCTTCCTTTTGTTCCAACCATTTGATTGTCATGCGATTCTTTCAAAGTGTTGTCTTGTATTTGCTCTCAATTCCTTCGCTTGATGTTGTGGCTTCAAATCCGCCTAAGGTAATGATGTTGCTCTAATGTCGCACAAATTTTTTAGATTATTTTTGCTCACGTCCGTTTTCGTGTCGTGGCTCGATCCTACGACGAGCGGCGTCACGTTTGCGTGAAACTCCATGAACTTGATCATTTTTTTTTTTCAAAACCATATATCTACCCTCTATGGGCGAGAACATCTGCTTTACGGTCGAGGAAAACTTCTTCATTTTAGATCTGATTTGGCTCAACTCTTTCTTTAATATCTTTTCTAAACCATCTTTTTTTTTTTTTTTTTTTTTTTTTTTGCAGCCATTATATCCTAGATGATTTTGGAACTCCTTTATGTCGTGTTCCCGTCGTTTAGCTTCCCAACCTTCTCATCGCAATCTTGTTTGATTCCTCAGCAATCTTGAGCGCGACTTTATTGTGATTTGAATTGCCATGATCCTGTGTGCGGTTCATTCATGTGCGCCGCAATCCCATCATTTGGCCTCCCAGCCTTCTCAAATTCTGATTGTATTGCCGCTCGATTCGGTCATGTCTGTTGGGACCTCGCCTGCTTCCTCAACTATCTCGATTGTGAATTTATTGCAATTTGAATCGCATCACGACGATGACCCAGGAGACTTGTATGTCGCGACCACATCATGAGCTCATTATGGAGGACATGTAGCGGGAAATATTCAAACTACAACGCAGACTCTTTTGAGGGGAAACAATCAAGAGAGCTCACCTGTAGCCACAACAATGATTTATCAGATTGATAGGAAAAAGTGGATTCCATCTACCAGGTAGCTTCTAGTGATGAAGAATGAACATTCGACGATTTGATATGAAATATCAATGCAAAAGCTAAGATTTTAGAGTGAAAATTGACTTGTCTTATTTTGATGATTGCATGGATCCGGACAAGTTCTTTGAGTGGTTTCAGACAATGAACCATGGCTTAAAATACAAGGGCGTCCCACCTAATAAAATTGTAAAACTAGCAGCCATCAAGTGAAGATGAGTGCATCTGTATAGCGGAAAATTTTGAAATAATTACACCAAAGGAAAAAATAAAATCAAAATCTTTTCCAAGATGAAGAGGGAAATATGATGGAAGTACCTACGAACCTATTACAGATATGACATATTCTTGAGCAAATAGTTCTCTTATTGAAGGAGTACACAGTTGAGTTTGAGCAGTTTATGTTGTAGTATTATCTAGTGGAGCTTGAGGGGAACACTATAGCTCGATATCTTGGATGATTGAAATCGTGAGTTGGCAATGTGGTTCAATTACAACTTTATTTGATATTACAAGATGTTCAGACTTTAACCCTGAAGGAGGAGGCAACACGACTATATTAGGTCCACACCACCCTTCAAACAAAGTTTAGACATCGATCCCAACTTACCTCAATGGAGGAAAAATTATTTCAGAGTGGAGACAAACTCTCAAATTCATCTCTGACAATAAGTGCTTCAAATGCCACGACTTTGGACACATTACATCTTATTATTCGAACGTAAGGGTGTTATCTTTCACTCTGAGTGCAATGGAAGAGACAGAGGGTGAAGACCTAGAGATGGAGAATGAAGATAATATTGGGTGCCTGGAGATGAGGGAAAGATGATAGTAATACAACAGGTCCTTCAGACTGATCCCTCGAGAAAGCAACAGTGATTCTGTCACAACATATTTTTGTATCGGATGCATCATTAAAGAAAAGGTGGGCAGTTTTATTATAAATGAAAGTGATTTTGAAAATGTGACATTTACACATGATAGATAAATTGAGTCTCACTATTTATAAATATTTTTAACCATATTATTTGTCATGATTGAAGAAAGAAAATAAAATCTCAATTGACAAGAGATTTTTTTGTGGAATTTTCTATGGGAGATAAGTTGCAGGATCGAGTTTGGTGTGATGTCGTACCTATAGATGTATGTCACATCTGATAGTAGTACATTTCATTATGTTCGCAAAAAACACTTACTTATATGGGATGAGAAGCACATCATGCTTTTGTCGTTTAAGAAGTCGGTCGTGAATGATAGATACTTCGACAGAGACATGAATATTTGTTCCTCGTGCCGCATTTCTATAGGCTATGAGAGAGGCATTAGCGAAACTAGCATTGGTGATTTTAGAAGACAATGTGCTATGGAAGAGACGTTATTTTAGGCATTGCGACCCCTCACTGGAGGAGTTTCATGATTCTCTGGCCTTTAGTTTACCCCCTAAATTGGCCATTTCTGATAGTACATGTCTTCACTCCAAATTGAAATGAGAAGTTTTTCTGCAGTTTTTGGAAGGCATAATGTAGTAAAGCTGAATTCGAAGTTCTAATTAAGTTCATTATTGTGCCTATCGTCAGACGGTTAGATAGGAGAGATGAACCACAACAGTGTAAATCTTCTTAGGTGCTTCGTGGGAAAAATATCTGACAATGGAATCCGGGTCCTTCCAAAGAAGAAAAAAGTTTCTCCTAGCTCCGCATCTATTTCACAATTCTGCCAGACTGCCATTGTGCAATCAACCATATGGCCCGAATTATTCTTTTTCTCAGCTCATTTCTTACATTTTTTTATTTATTTCTTTTTTTTTCCTATTTTTTATTTTTTATTTTTTATTTTCTTATTTCTAATTAGGTTATTTTCTATCAGAGAGTTATTTATATTTTATTATTTCTGATTTAAGAGGACATTTGACTTTTGTATTGAGTTTAAAGAATGGTTCTTTGTTTTATACTCTTCTGAATTGTTTTGCTCAAGTAATTTGTAGCTTCATTTTCGATTGCTGGGCCCCATTGAAATAAAGAAGGTTTTTTCTGATGCTATTAATTTTATTTTCAGCATCTGTCTTCTAATGCGAGTAAAATATAATTCAGTAGTAGTTTGTTGGATATAATGGCTATAGAAAGATGTTGCTGTGAAAATTTGCTGGATTGTGATTTTTTCAGTTTCAGGAGTAGTTTTCATTTTGTTCCTCTCGGGAAAAATGTCTCTTTAGTAAACTTGGGGCCTGATCAACAGCAACCTTAGTTTTCTCAAGTAGATTGTTTATGCAAGTAGATTATTATTTCCATGTTTTAATCTCTAAATTCTTCCTTTTTTCCCTTCTTTGTTTAATGCAGGAACTTGAGAATGCTCTCAGATCTTTCAAGACTGGCCAGACTCCAATTTTGGTGGCAACTGATGCTGCAGCAAGTGGGCTCGACATTCCGCATGCAGATCATGTAGTAAACTTCGACCTTCCTAACAACATTGATGACTAAGTGCGCCGGATCGGAA